TGATGCCTGAGTTCGCATGACAGAATTTTATAAGCCTAAGGACTTATTCATTGCAGACACCTTTTTAAAATATAAAAGACAACTATACACATGGACCTCTTCAGATGGAATACACAGAAATAAAACTGACTACATCTGTGGAAACAGATGGTGGAAAAGCTCCATATCATCATCTGAAACAAGACCAGGACCTGACTGTGTAACACACTATCAATTGCTCATATGCAAGTTCAGGCTGAGGCTGAGAAAATTAAAACAAGTCCATGAGAGCCAAAATATTACTTTGAATATGTCCCACCCAAATTTAAAGATCATCTCAAGGACAGATTTTATGCATTAGACAATAATAATTGAACCAGAAGAGTTGTGGAATGACAACAAGAATATCATACAGGAAGAAAGCAATAGGTTACTAAGAAGACAAGAAAGAAGGAAAAGACCAACATGTATGTAAAGAAGAGACTCTCAAACTTGCTCTCCAGTGTAGAGATGCTAAAGCAAATGGAAGAAATGAGGAGGTAAAAGAGCTGAACAGAAAATTTCAAAGGGCAGCTCAAGAAGACAAAGTATTATAATGAAATGTGGAAAGACCTGGTTTGGAAAACCAAGAGGGAAAAACACGATCAACATTTCTCAAGCAGAAAGAACTGAAGTAAAAATTCAAGCCTCAACTTGTAATGCTGAAGGACTCTATGAGCAAAGAACTTTTGGTGTGGTGCTGTGGATCAGCACTGGAATGTGAATCACAACGTCAGCAGATCAAACCCATCAGCTGCTCCTTGGAAACCCTATACAGGGTCGCTATGAGTTGGAACTGACTTGATGGCACTTAACAATAACAACAACTATAAGGAGCTCTGGTAGCGTAGTGGTTACGAATCGGGCTGTGAACCGCAAGGTCAGCAGCTCGAAACTACCAGCTGCTCTGCGGGAGAAAGATGAGGCTTTCTGCTCCCGTAAAGATTTACAGCCTCGGAAACCCTGTACAGGGTTGCTATGGGTTGGAACCGACTCCACGGCACTTAACAACAACAACATGGGCAGAATATTGAATGATGCAGAAAGGATCAAAAGAAGATGAAAGGAATACAAAGTCACTGTACCAAAGAGAAATGGTCAATGTTGGACCATTTTAAGAGATACCATATGTGGCGCTGTGGGTTAATGTGCTGGATTGCAAGGTTGCTTTGAACTGCAAAGTTGGAGGTTCAAGCTCACCAGCTGCTCCTCAGAAACCCTATACAGGATTGTTATGAGTCAGTACCAATGGGACAGCACTTAACAAAAATACATATGATCAAGAGCCAATGGTACTGAAGGAAGAATTCCAAGGTTCAATAAAGACATTAGCAAAGAACAAGACTCTAGAAATTGATGGAACACAAACTGAAATCTTTCAACAAATGATACAGCACTGGAGGCACTCACTCAACTATGCCAAAAAATTTGGAAGGCAGCGACCTGGTCAACTGATTGGAAGAGATCCATATTTGTTTTCATTCCAAAGAAAGGTGACCCAATGGAATGTGGAAATCATTGCATATCATTAATATCACGTGCACAAGTAAAATTTTGCTAAAGGTAATTCAAAAACAGCTGGAACAGTACATTGACAGAGAACTGACAGAGATTAAAGCCATATTCAGATGGACATGGACTAAGGAATATCACTGCTTATGTCAGATAGATCTTGGCTGAAAGCAGAGAATACCAGAAAGATGTTTATCTGTACTTTGATTATGCAAAGGCTTTAGATAATGCGGATCATGACACGCTATGGACAATATTGTGAACGATGAGTATTCCAGAACACAACTTTACTCACGAGGAACTTTTACACAGACCAAGAGGCAGTCATTCAAACAAAACAAGGGAATACTGAATAGTTTAAAATCAGGAGACGTCTGCTCCAGGTCTTATTTTTTCACCATACTTATTCAATCTGTATGCTGAGCACATATTCCAAGATGGATTATATTAAATTGAGCGTGGCATCAGGATTGGAGGAAGACTCATTAACAACCTGCGATATGCAGATGATACAACCTTGCTTGCTGAAAGTGAAGAGGACTTAAAATATTTACTCATGAAGATCAAAGAGCACAGTTTTTGATATGGGTTGCGTCTCAAT